TGTTATACAATATTATCTTTGGAACTGCTATGCTCCATAAAGGGAAGTGGGTGCATGCTTTGTCTGCATGCAAGCTGATTTTTAAAATTCATAAAAGGTTAGGCTAAGCTTGCTATCCAAAATGCATAATTTCGTTTCCCTAGAAGTTTTTCCAGTCAGTTTAACAGCATAGGCTAAACTTTTCAAGGGGGAAAAAAAAAACCCAACAACTTTGTAAAAGACCCACATCCTGCAAGACTCCTGGGCAGCTGTGTCACAAGTTTATAACCCAAAGTAAACTTAGTCGGCTAGGCAAGAATGTTTCAGAAACTGTGTATGCAGTTAGTGGTTCACCTACCATAAATGCAATGCTGTAGCCTCCCTTCACTCACTCAATCATACATACAAACACCAATTGAGCTCTTAATGTTAGGCACTGAATTCAACACAAACCTCAAAGCCAAGGATATATTCTGTGCCCTCAGAGAGCTCACAGTCTGCAGTGGAAGACAAATGAGCAATGTAGCAAATATAATGTAATAGGGCAAGTCCTGTGATACAGGCTGAGGTGAGTGGATTGCCTGAGCCCACGGGTTCGAGACCCACCTGGGCAATTTGGTGAGACTTCATCTCTACAATAAAATTTTTAAAAATTAGCCAGGTGTGGTAGCGCATGCCTGTAGTTCCAGCTACTTGGAAGGCTGAGGTGGAAGGATTGCTGGAGCCCAGCAGGTCGAGGCTGTGATGGCCGGGACCAGCCACTGTACTCCAATTTGGGCGACAGGGTGAGACTCCAATTCAAAAAAAAAAGAAAGATAACAAGGAGCTACGAAAACAGAGGGGAAATGACTCAGTCTCAAGTAGCTGAGGAAGGCTTTCTAGGAGATAACAGTGCCTGAGCCGGTCAGCCAGAAGGGAAGGCTGAGGAGCACTTCAGATGAAGGAAATGGCATATGCAGAAGTACTGTGGTGTGAGAAGCCTGGTAAGTATCGTGGGCACCAACGGTGCTGGTGAAGTAAAATAGGAAAGACGGCAAGAAGAGCCTTGAACACCATGCTTGGGGACTTCAGACAGCATCCTAAAGGATTTTAAGCAAGGGAGTGACTAGATTGGATTTCATCTTGGAAAGACCTCTCTTGCAGCAGCCTGAAGAACGAATTGGGAAAGAACCAAGTCGGTGGCCAAGGAGCAGCTTTGAATCTAGAGAAAGAAAGATGACTGGCTGAGTGTGGCTGGGGAAAAGAGGGAGAACAGGGAGTGACTACAGATGGAGCTAAGGGATTTTGCAGGGGTGATGGGAATGTTTAAAACTGGACTGTGGTTGTATAACACAAAATTTAATAAAAGCCATTGATTGCATAAAAGGAGCAAATTTTATTGTATGTAAATGATTCCTCAGTAAAGCTGTTAGAGAAAAAAGGAGCAATTGCAAAGATATTAAAGTACTCTAAGAACTGGTAAGGGCCTGAGACAGGCAACAGATATTCAGCATTAGCTATGGAGAGTGGGCAGTGTCAGGGATAGTCCCTGGAAACCTACATGGGACAGGATCAGGAGGTCAAGCAGGTCTGCTGGGGAAAATGAAGAGCTTAGTTTTTGAGGTGCTAAGCTTAGGTCCCTCTGGAACACACATCTACCAGGTTTCTTAAACTCTTCACTGTTGACATTTTGGGCAGGATCATGCTTATTGTGGGTGGTATCCTGTGCATTGAAGGGTGTTTAGCAGCATCCTTTGCCTTTACCCACTAAATGCCAGTAAAGTGTGACAACCAAAAATGTCTCCAGTCATTGCCATAAGTCCCCTGCAGGCAAAATTGCCCCAGTCGAGAAATACGTATTAAAAGGGAAAGCTCTAAACTCATGACTTTTTCTTTAGGCTTTTTAAAAAAATTAAAAACAAAGATATGACTCACCATTTTAAGGTGTACAACTTGGTGGTTTTAAAATATATTCAAAAAGTTGTGCAACCATCACCGATTCCAGCACATTTTCATTACCCCCCAAAAAGACTCCATATCCATTGCAGTCACTCCCCTTTTCTGTCTCTCCCCAATCACTGAAAACCATGAACTGTTACTGATATTTCATAGAAACAGAATCATACGCTATGTGGCCTTTTGTGTCTGGCTTTCACTCTGTATGTTTTCAAGGCTCATCCATGTTATAGCACATATCAGTACTTCATCCTTTCTAATGGCCAGATAACCTTTCATTGTGTGGATATACCATGGTTTGTTCATCAAATCATCAGTTGGGGGGGTATTTGGGTTGTTTCATTCTTCAGCTATTCTGAATAATGCTGCTATGCACATTTGTGTACAAGTTTTTGTATGGACATATTATTCATTTGGCATGGGCATATATACACCTAGGAGTGGAACTGCTGTACAATGTGCTAACACTATGCCTTTGGAGGAACTGCCAAACTATTTTCCAAAGCAGCTACTATTTTAAATTGCCAGCAGCAATGGATGAGGGTTCCAATTTCTTCATGCTTGCCATCACTTTGGTTCTCCTAAACTCATTTTTTTTGCTCTCAAGTTTTCAGAAAGCATTTGCTGTTAGGTCACATTGTTTAAGACAACTTCATGGATGGGAAAACCAGTGGTCAGTGTAAGGTGACTTGCACAAGGCCACACTTAGTGGTCAGCAAAGTCCTTTCCAGCACTAAAATTTATTCTGTGTTGAAAACTGTATAATTAATTACAATTCTATTCTATCCGTCATGCAAGATGCTGGTCACCTGACATATGATCTGCTTTTGCTTGTTTTTTAATTTTCAGAGATCCATCAACATGTAGACCCCTCCCTTCTCCGCTACTCAAAGATACCCTTTAGTAAACGTCCTCTCTGTTGCATCATTACTTCTCCCTTTGGCTCATTCCCCATCCAGCAGCATAATCTGTCAAAGGTCATCCCAAGGTTGTCTTCAAAATATAATAAATCTTCTCTTGACCCATTCATACTCCCTGCCAGTCTGACCCATTTGTGTTTTCTTTTGTAGCACAGCTCCTCAACACTTGTCTCTACACTTGTTCTTCCCAACTTCTCCCATTCCCATTCACCATCTGGCCCTCACATTCAACACTCCACCAAGACTCTGGACAAAGTCGCCAATGACCTCTATTTTGCCAAATCCAAGTGACTAATTCTCAGCCCTATTACTCAACTTGCCAAAGAATCATTCCCTCCTTCAAACTGTTTCATTTGGCTTCTAGAATACTGTTCCCATTTCCCACCTTCCTCACTGGTCATTACTCCTTGGTCACATGTCCTTGTTCTGCCTCACTTTCCTAACCACTAGGAAAGTGGAGTTGGAGTAGCACAGGATTTGGCGTTTGGACCTTTGTTTTTCTTTACTTAGATATCTATCAGGTATTTCAAATGAACTCCTGATTTTTTCCTCCTAAACTTCCTACAATCTTCACAGTATAAACAGTAACTTCTTTCTTCTACTTTCTCAGCCTACCAACCTTGGGATGACCTTTGACACTTCTTTCTCTTTCGCCTCATCCATCTGTTAGTGGCTCTCTTATCACCAGAATCTGACCACTTCTTGCCTCCTCCATCGTTTTAACATGCTGGCCCCAGTCGCCACCATCTCTCAACTGGATTGCTACTATCGCCTCCTAAGTGGTCCCTTGCTTCCAGCTTTGCCCTTCCAGGTTATTCTCCACACGGCTTCTGGAGTGATCCATTTAAAAAGTAGTTCTGATCACACCATTCCTCTGAACCAAATCCTTCACAGGTTGTGACAGGCTGTTTGCATAAAAGCCACCAGTATGCCCCTTTGTGTCTTCATTCTTATGTAGTTCCCTCCTAATGACTCTGGGTCTGGCTATGAGATTTCTGTGGCTAAGGGGACAGTACAAACATGAGGCAAGCAGAGGCTTGGAAAGTACTTGTTCATTGGGGTTCAGTCTAATTTGCTGCTGGGACACTTCCACCACCATTTGAACAAATGTGGGCTGGCCTCCTGGAGAATGAGTGACCATGTAGAGAGAACCATTCCAGGTGTCCAAGCTGAGTGAGGCCAGACTGGACCCTCCAGCTCCAAATGAGCTGGCCTGGTTCAGAAGATTCATATGGCCAACCTAGAGAATCTTGAAAAACAATAAATGTTTGTTCTATTCCACTAAATTTTGAGGTGGTCCACTACCCAGCAAAAGCTAACTGATACACTGGCCATTTTGCTCAGGATAAAAGCCAATGGCCTAACAGGCTACAAGGCCCAAAGTGATCTGTCTGCCTCTTCCTTTACAGCCTCCTTGTTACTCCTCATATCCAGCACTGGCCTACCTCAGGGCCTTTGCCCTGTTCTCTATGCCTGGAATCTTTTTCCTCAGATGTCTGCATAGCTGGCTCCCTTACTTCCTGTTTATCTCTCTTCAAATGCCACCTTATCAGAGACAAATCCCCTTATCACCCTAAGAAAATATCCAGGCACTCCCTACCCATCCCCCTTATCCTGCTTTATTTTTCATTTTAGATCTTATTATTATCTGACAAATACATTAAATATTTATTTCCTGTCTGTCACACACACAAGAGACACTAGAATGTATGCTCCATGAGGGTAGAAACTTTGTCTCTCTTGTTCATCACTGTGTCCCCAGGGCTTATAAGAGTGTCTGGAACTTTTTATTACCAGCATACTGATGGAAGCAGTACTATTTTTGCCAAAGTTGGTGTCTAGGTCTATCACCTGGAATGTTTCTAGAGGCCTCGGTGGGAAAAGTAGAGGCCGTGCTCCATATTAGGACATGTTATATTTAGTGAAGGCTGAATTCCTATAGCACCAAAGACCTAGGAAACATTAAAATAAATGCCCTTTAGGATTCATTCAAGTGGAGCAGCAAAACACTGGCCTGCCACTGGTCAACTCAGAGCTCTGTTCCTTTTGATCAACCCTCCCTTCTTCCCTTTTCTTCCCATCTCTCCCCCATCAGCCTGAACACCAGTTTTTCAGATCCTTAGTTTGTTCACCAAATGATTGGGAAGAAACAAAAACACCAGAAAGTATTATGAGCATAGAAATTTATTTGAATTCAAAATAATATAGCTATATTTAGAATAATGTAATAATTATCTAAAGCAAGTATCATAATTGGCTCTGAAACAGGTCTAAAGATGTCAATTTTTTGAAGTCAAAAAATATGTAATAAGAATGTACAAGGAAGTAAAATATATAAAAACAAGTCTGCTGAGTAGTGGGAGTTGTAGAGGGATATATGAACATACTGTAACTGAGTCCAGATTAGAAAACATGCAGCAACAGGTTCTCCCACTTTACAAACTTTTTGGAAAATAAACCAGTAACCTCAGCAATGCAGCCACCATTTGGTTAACGGGATACACTTACTGAGGGCTACAGGTAGTAATTCACTAGACTTCCCTTCTCTAGCACCTCTCTTCACACCAATGTCTTTTCCTTCCTTTAAGATGGGTTTCATTCCATTGACAAAATATTTGGTTTTATTTGTAAGTAGAGTAAATAATATCCTGATTGAAGTATTCAACAACTTAGTTGAAGATGCCCAGGGATCAAATGTTTCAAACAGGTCAATTCACCTAGTTAGCACAGAGACCATCAGTGGTTTGCATGAAAAAGTTGTCCAGATAACATGTTTGCTAAAAAGACAAAAAAATAAGTGGTTAAAAAAATGGGTGAAAAAAATCCTAGGGATTACTGTGACCTAGACAATCAAAAGCAGACAGGTGAACTTTGATTAAACCCATTTACTTGTGGAGTGAACTAGAAAGAGACTCCAAGACAGAGTTTGGTTTCCAACAGTATCCATGGCCAAAGGGCACGCTCAGAATGTCTCCTCCTCTCGTAGAAACTGGAACACGGATGAGAAGTCTTTCTTTGAGTAGCCCTTTGCACACATCATCCTGTAGATCTGATGCGCCAGGCTGCCAAGAAGGACTGGGCTCTTTGTGCTGGTAGCAGAGTCTTGTGCCAGGCCCAGATCCTAAATCAAACAAGGACAGGAGGGAATACATTGAGAATAGCAGTAAAGGCTCACTCTCGAACTGCAGTTCCCAATGTTTTGGTTTCAAAGAAGGAAAAATGAAATCTGAAAATAAGGGCTACTTATAAGCATTATGGTAAGTTATATATGTATTTTAATAAGTGTTTCCATCTAGCTATAAAACTGTTCCAGACAGAAACCTTGCTTTCTGAGTGTCTTCTCCACTCCCCAACCCTCCTCAGGACCTATTTGTTTTGTTTTGGTTTTAGATAGAGGTCACTACAAGGGTGGGAAATGGTTTTTCAAATCTGCATAAGTGTGTAAGACTGACATAAAGTAAAAAAACAATTTTGAAAAATGAAATGAGGGAAATAAAACTGAAAAACTGAAAACATAATAGCAAAATATTACTTCATGCAATAAATATTTGAAATGTGCTGACAATGTGCAAAGCTGGGACACAATGGTGAACCAGAAAGCCACAGTCCACCCAGTTCACAGTCTACTGAGGAAGAAAGACAATGAAACACTTTATTTATATAATTTGATAAGAGAAGTACTATCACAGGAGCCATGGAGCCACAGCCTAGGGTGCTGGGGAGGCCGTCCAGATCAGAAATATCAGCAGGCATTAGCTAGGCGAAAGCATGGGGCTGGCAGGGAGGTGGTGAGCAACGAAGGATGATCCCAGCAGAGGGAACAGCAAACTGAGAACAAGAGGCATGCGTTCAGCATGACGAAAGCAAAGAGGAGGAATGGGAAAGCAAAAACGAGTCTGGCTGAGGCAAGCATAAGGCGAGACGAGTAGAGATGAACTTCAGTCTCCAATTAACTGAACTATTAAAGAAACTGAAGAGGAGAAGTGACATAATCAGGTTTTTACATTTTAGAAAGCCCACTCTTGCTATGGTGTGGAAAATGAATTGGAGACGATCAGGACGGCAGGCAAGAAGACCAGTTAAGGGCTGCTGTGGTACAGTATGACTTGGCCACAGTCCTGGAGGTGGGGAGCAGAGAACTGGATGAATTCAAGGCACATTCAAGAAGCAGAAGGAAGGAATACCATGGGGAATGAGGGAGAGTAAGCCAAGGACAGGCACACTTGTTTTATTGTGCTTCACTTTATTGTGCTTCACTTAATTGCACTTTGCAGACACTGTGGGTTTTTTCTTTTTTACAAATTGAAGGCTTGTAGCGACCCTGCACTGAGCAAGTCTATCAAGTCTATCAGCACCATTTTTCCAACAGCATGTACTCACTTTGTGCCTCTGTCACATTTTGGCAATTCTCACAGTATTTCAAACATTTTCATTACGATTACACTAATTATGGTGAGCTGTGATCAGTGATCTTTGATGTTACTACTGGAAAAGTTCTGTGGTGCCACAAATCACACCCATATAAGAAAGACAGTGAACTTGTGTGGGTTCTGACTGCTCCACCGAATGGTTCTCTTTCTCTTTCTCTCTCCTTGGTCCACACTATTCCCCGAGACACAAAATAATAAAATTAGGGCAAGCACAGTGGCTTACATCTGTTATCCAAGTGCTTTGGGAAGCCAAAGTCAGAGGATCACTTGAGGTCAGGAGTTCAAGAGTAGCTTGGACATGGCAAAACCCCATCTCTACTAAAAAAATAAAAAAAATTTTAGAAAAAAATTAGGCCAATTAATAACCCTCAATGGCCTCTAAGTGTTCAAATATAAGAAAGAGTTGTCTGTCTCTCACTTTAAATCAAAAACTATAAATGATTAGCCGGGTGCAGTGGCTCAAGCCTGTAATCCCAACACTCGGGGAGGCCAAGGCGAAAGGATTGCCTGAGTCCGGGGTTCAAGACCAGCCTGGGCAACCTAGTGAGATCTCATCTCTATGATAAATCAAAAAATTAGCCAGGCATGGTGGCACGTGACTGTAGTTACACCTACTTGGAAGGCTGAGGCAGAAAGATCGCCTGAGCCCAGCAGGTCGAGGTTGTGGTGACTGTACGTCACTGGTCACTGCATTCCAGCCTGGGCGACAGAGTGAGACTCCAACTCAAAACAAAAACAAAACCAAAACTGATTAAGCTTAGTGAGGAAGGCATGTAGAAAGTCAAGACAGGTTGAGAGGTAGGTCTCTTGTACCAAACACAAACAGTAAGCCAAGTTATAAATACAAAGGAAAAGTTCTTGAAGGAAATTAAAAGTGCTACTCCAATGAATATACATGAATGTTAAGAAAGTGACACAGTCTAATTGTTTACAGGGAGAAAGTCTGAGTGGTCTAGATAGATCAAGCCAGTCACAACATTCCCTTAAGCCAAAGCCTAATACAGAGTAAGGCCCTAACTCTTTTCAAGTCTATAAAGGCTGAGAGAGGTAAGGAAGCTGCAGAAGAAAAGTTGGAAGCTAGCAGTGGCTGGTTCAGGAGATTTAAGGGAAGAAGACATTTCCATAACATAAAAGCGCAAGGTGAAGTGGTAAGTGCTGATGGAGAAGCTGCAGCAAGCTATCCAGAAGATCTCACTAAGAGAATTGATGGAGGTGGCTACACTGAACAGGTTTCACTGTAGAGAAACAGTCATCTATTATAAGAAGATGCCTTGTTGGACTTTGACAGCTAGAGAGAAGTCAAAGCCAGGCTTCAACGTTTCAAAGGACAGGCTTACTCACAAGGGGCTGCTGCAGCTGGTGACTTTAAATTGAACCCAATGCTCATTTACCATTCTGAAAATCCTAGGGCTCTTAAGAATGATGCTAAATCTGCTCTGCCTGTGCTCTAAAGATGAACAGCAAAGACTGGATGACAGCACATGTTTACAGCATTGTTTACTGAATATTTTAAGCTCACTGTTGAGACCTATTGTTCAGAAAAAAAGATTCCTTTCAGATCATCCATCATGATCAAGTGGGCTACATTCCTGGAATGCAGAGCTGGCTCAGCATTCCTAAGTCTATAAACGTAATTCATCACATTAACAGTTGTAAAACCAAGAACCACATGATTATCTCATTAGATGCACACACAAAAAAGCATTTGATAAAATCCAGCATTCCTTCTTGATAAAAACTTTCAAATACTAGGCATCAAAGAAACATTCCTCAAAACAATAAAAGCTATCTATGACAACCTGAAGCCAACATCATGCTTAATGGGCAGAAGCTGGAAGCATTCTGCCTAAGAATTGGAACAAGACAAGAATGCCCACTCTCAGTCCTCCTATTCAACATGGTATTGGAAGCCCTAGCTACAGCAAAGACGGAAGAAAATCAAGGGTATCCAATAAGAAAAGTGGAAGTTAAATTATCCCTCTTTGTGGATGATATGATTCTATACCTAGAAAACCCTAGAGAGTCTGTCAAGAACCTCTTTGCACTGATAAATGACTTTGGTAAAGTCTTGTGATATAAAATTCATGCACAAAAGACAGCTGCATTTCTATACAACAAGAACAAGCAGGCTGAGAACCAAATAAAAAACACAATTCCATTTACAAAAGCCACACACAAAAAAAGAAAGAAATACCTTGGCATCCACCTAACCAAATAAGTGAAAGACCTTTACAATGAGAACTATAAAACACTGCTCAAAGGATGTACAAATGGAAAACATCCCATGCTCATGGTCTGAAAGAATCAATATCGTCAAGATGTCCATCCTACCCAAGGCAATCTACAGATTCAACGCAATACCTATCAAATTGTCAACATCATTTTTCACAGACCTAGAAAAGACAATATAACAATTCATATGGAAGCAAAAAAGAGCACAAGTAGCTAAAGCAATCATCAGCAAAAGGAACAAAGCTGAAGACATCATACTTTCAGACTTTAAACATTTTTACAAGGTTACAGTAACCAAGACAGCATGGTATTGGTACAGGAATACACACATAGACCAACAGAACAGGAGAGAATCTGGAAATAAAACCCTTGTTCCTCAACCAACTCATCTCTGACAAAGCCATCAAAGACAAACACTGGAAAAAGGAAACCATATTTAGCAAATGGTGCTGGGAAAACTGGCTAATCATATGCTTTCTTATGAAACTGAACCACTACCTACAAAAATTAACTTAAAACGAATCAAGAACTTAAATGTAAAACCTCAAACTATAAGAACCTTACAAGAAAACTTAGGGAACAACCTCCTGGACATCAGAGTAGGCAAAGAATTCACGGCCAAGTTGACAAGAGCAATACAACAGGTAGTACCTAATTAAACTGAAAAGTTTTCGCACAGCAAAAGAAACCATCAAGAGAGTAAAGACAAAACCTATGAAATGGAAAAAAATGTTTGCAAGCTATGCATCTGACAATGGCCTAATATCCAGGGTCTACAAAGAACTCAAACAAACTGAAAGGAAAAACCGACCCCATTAAAAACAGGGCAAAGGGCATGAACAGACACTTCTCAAAGGAAGACATACAAGCAGCCAACAAACACATGAAAAAATGCTCAGCCTCACCAATCATCTGAGAAATGCAAATCAAAACTGCAATGAGATACCACCTCCACCAGTAAAGATGGCTATTATTAAAAAGTCAAAACAACAACGGGTGCTGGTGCAGCTGTGGAAAAGAGAACACTTCTATATTGCTGGTGGGAATGTAAGCTAGTTCAGCCTCTGTGAAAAGCAGCGTGGTAATTTCTCAAAGAACGAAAAATTGAGCTTCCATACAATCTAGCAATCCCTTTTCTAGGAATATATTCAGAGGAACATAAATCACTATACCAAAAAAGACACCTGCACATGTTTATTTATTGCAGCACTATCCACAACAGAAAAAACATGGAACCAACACAGATGTCCACTGAAAATGGACTGGAAAAAGAAAATGTGGTACATATACATGATGAACTATTATGCAGCCATAAAGAAGAACAAAATCATGGCCCTTGCAGCAACATGGATGCAGCTGGAGACCATAATACTAAGTGAACTATCATAGAAACAAAGAATTGAGTACTGCATGTTCTTACTTGTAAGTGGGCCCTGATCACTGGTCAGCAAAAGGTGGGATCTGCAGATGCTGGACACAGCTAGGGAGAGGAGGGAGAAAGGAGGGAGGAGAGCAGACAGCAACACAATGGATACTTGGTCCACTATGAGGAAAGAGAGGGCCAGCTAGAAGCCCAAACTTTGTCTTCATGCAACTTATTTATGTAGTAAATCTGCACTTGTACCTCACAACTCTAAAATAAAATATAATAAAAAATAAAGAAAAGATTCCTTCCAAAATATTATTGTTCATTGACATTGCACCTGGTCACCCAAGAGCCCTGAAGGAGATGTGCAAGGATAGAAATGCTGTTATCATGCTGCTAACACAAGACCCATTCTGCAGCCCATGGATCAAAGGAGGTATTTTGACTTTCAACTCTTTTTTTTTTTTTTTTTTGAGTTGGAGTCTCACTCTGTCGCCCAGACTGGAGTGCAGTGGCACACTCCCGGCCACCACAGCCTCAACCTGCGGACTCCAGCAATCCTTCCACCTCAGCCTTCCAAGTAGCTGGAACTACAGGCACGTGCTACCACGCCCGGCTAATTTTTTTTTTTATTTATGGTAGAGATGGGGTCTCACCAAGTTGCCCCAGTGGGTCTCGAACCTGCAGGCTCAGGCAATCCACTCACCTCAGCCTCCCAAAGCACGGGATTACAGGCTGAGCCACCGAGCCAGGCGACTTTCAACTCTTATTATTTAAGAAATACATTTCGTAAGGCTGTAGCTGCCATAGACAGTGATTCCTTAGATGAATCTAGGTAAATTAAAAATCTCTGGAAAGGAATCACCATTCTAGATGCCAGTAAGAACATTTGTGATTCATGGAAGGGCAAAATATCAACATTAATACAAATCTGGAAGAAGTTGATTTCAAACTTCATGGATGACTTTGAGAGGTTCAACACTTAGTGAAAGAGTCACTACACACTCCTAGTTCTCTCCATTAGTTCTCTTGGCAGAAAGAGCAAGAGAACTAGAATTAGAAGTGGAGCCTGAAGATGTGACTGAATTTCTATACTCTCATTATAAAACTTGAAGAGATGAGGAGTCGTGTCTTATAAATTAGCAAAGAAAGTGGTTTCTTGAGATGGAATCTGCTTCTGGTGAAGATGCTGTGAACATTTGTTGAAATGACAACAAAGGATTAGAATATTATACAGCTTAGTTGATAAAGCAGCGGCAGAGTTTGAGAGGATAGACTCCAATTTTGAAAGAAGCTCAACTGGGGGTAAAAGGCTATCAAACAGCATCATATGTAACAAAAAAGTCTTTCGTAAAAGGAAGAGTCCATCAATGAAGTAAACTTCGTTGTTGTCTAATTTTAAGAAATTCCTACAGCCACCCCAACCTTCAGCAACCAACACCCTGATCAGTCAGCAGTCATCAACACTGGTGCAAAACCCTTCACTAGTAAAAAAGATTATACAACTCACTGAAGGGTCAGGTGATTGTTAGCATTTTTCTGCAACAAAACACTTTTAAATTAAGATATGTGCGTTGCTTTTTAGACTTAATGCACACATAATAGACTACAGTATAAATATAACTTCTATACACACTGGAAAATCAAAATATTTCTGTACTTGCTTTATCGCAGGGGTCTAGAACCAAACTCATAACATCTCCGAGGTATACCAGCATGCTATCCAGGTGTATATATTTTTAATTTTGTAATCAGGAAAAAACAAACAAAATAAGCACTATGCAGAAATCAGAAAGTCTGTTAGTCTAAAAAGTATCTTCTGTAGTTGACATCATACATTTTCTAAAGTAGAGATCTCAAATAAGAGGAGGATGACAATTTGTTTTTCACATGACTTAATTAATTTTGCATAAATCTATATACACTCTTAAAGAAGATGTATTTAGAAATTCAGCATTATGAAAAAAAACTTTCTTCTTTTGTGACGTATATGTACAATCCTAATGCATTATTAATAACCAGAAAATTCTTACTGCTTCTATTCTAAGGAGTTGGTAAATTAACATAAATTTATGATGAACAAAATTTTACCAGCTCATATAAAGAAACCCATGCCCAAAAATACAAAAAGCCTAGCCCAGTCTTCTCAGTCAAAAGGCCAGGAATAAAAATGAACAAGATAAAGATTTTTATCTAAGCTAAGTTTTTACTCATTTCCAGTGAGAGAGTGAATCACTATTCTAGTAATTTTACCTTTTAGGATAGGTATACATTTTGTTGAGAGAGAGAAGAGTTATTAGAACATTAAACATATCCCTCACTCTTGGTTAGTGTCTGTGTTTGCCATACCTTAGCCATAAGGGTTGTTCCAAATCCACCCTGATAATTATTAGCCGAGGGAACTCCATCCATCACTCCAGGTACAGGATTATAAGTGTCACTTGACCAGCACCGTCCTGAACTCATATTTAGGATTTTAGCCAATAGTTTTGGGTCAAGCCCTAACCTGTCAAAGGTCAAAGAAAAGAAATGTTAAATGTCAAAATATACAAGTCATGCATGACTTATTTACCTATGAGGATGCCCCACCTTCTCTATTTATTATAAGTCTTCTAAAATCAAAGCAGATTGATATGAGAGTCAAGAATCCAATCTTGAATTATAGAGTATTAAAAGCTACTGATTAAACAAGAACACATTTTGCATTTAGAGAAAACCTTCTGCACTACCCTACTATTAAGAAGAAATAATATATAATTGCATAAAAGTGTTGTTGGCTTATCACACTCATGGGTTTTCTAATCTTTTGGACATTCCTGCATTTATGTGTCACATAAGAACCTTAAACCAATATGATAATCTAAATTCTACATTCTTTACTCACAAAAGATATATTTCAGAAAGAAATATTGACAGATAAACGATGCATCATGGGCGTGTGTGGATGCATTTATATGTATGTTTATTCCTTAAGCTTTTATGAGACAAATGCAAGAGATGAGCCATGAGTTGTAAATGAGCTTAAGAGAAGCTATCATTATACAAGAAGACATTTCTTGTTGCAAACTTTTCCTTATTTATTAAATCTTCATTAGACAATCCTGCTTATGAAGCAAGTCTGCACAGAGTTGTGACATATGCTATCTATTCAGAGACATGCATTATAGTTCTGGGTCAACTGCTGATAAGGTTACTGATCCTGATAAAACAAAGCCTGTCCAAGCGGAAACATCATTTGTTCTATCACTGGGCTGATGGCATAAACGGCTGTTCAATGTGGGCCCTAGAAAAAATAAAATCAAAATGCTCCATTACTTTGATTCTAAAGATATAATGCAGTTTGGGAAGCGCAGTTTTGCTGAGTATCATTGAATCAAGTTTCAAATAAAACTTTATACCTAGCAATTTATTTGGTTTCTTCCATACAGAGAGCCATTATAAAATAACTGTTATGGAAGTTTTCTGCTTTTTCTTAAAACCAATCTCTTCCAGAAAAAAATTTTTTTAATTGAAAAGAGACACTTATGTAAACGTTAAACAAATTGTGCATTTTAGCATGCTTAAATTCTTGTTTACTTTGTGTCCAAAATATACACCTGTTTATTTCACAATCTAAACATCATGACCAATAAAACATTTTTTCTGATGCTAGAGCAGAGGGCTAGGGCTAACAGTCAAGAATATATATGGAATTACCATGTAATACAACTGTTATGTGATCAGGCTTTCAAAGAGTGGCTGTGGTTCATGGAATGTTATGTGCCATGCCACATATCTGAATTCATATGGTGGCCCATGTCATAATAATGGGCATTTACTTAAGATTATAATAGATACAGATCACAAATTAACAATTAGTTAATTTGCTATAGCTGCAAAAATATTCTCTAAGCACAAATGTTGAAGATTTATATATATCTAATACTCTCTATCAGGAGCAAATATTTTTAAAGACTGTAAAACACTGCTTTTCCCCTTCATTTGAAATACAATTTTGGGGCATCATCATTTAGAACTTCTTTTTAAATGGTTCTTCACATTTAAAGCAGCAGAGGTCTGCCTTTCTTTATAACCTACCAGGCTACACTGAGTGGTAGCTCACAAGAGTCTTTACTGCTAAGGAAATTCACTCTATTTCATAATATCACCAAAATGGTGAGCAAAGCTAATTATTCTAACTTCATAAAACCCTACATTCTTCTTGAACGCTCAAGGAAAAATACTGGCACTGATTGATGGAAACCCTTTTTAGTGAACATATTACTACTTAGAAGCATACTGAGGGGCACACACAAAAAAATCAGGTGGCAGTTGTTCCGTGCTCACTCTTCAAATCTGACGCTTCCCCACTGTGCCGATTCCTTCATGAGATGGCTACTCCCTCTCCACTTCCCTCCTGCTGCCCCCACCCACAGTAAAGTATATCATTAAAAAGAGCAAGTTAGAAGTGTTTTGCATTTCATCTTTCTGAGGATTCTTTCCCTGGCACATACATAACTGACAGTTAAAATTAGACATGATATTAAAATCAGTTACTGAAGTCTTCTGTCTTCCACTGTGCCCAAGGCTTGTAATGGTCTGAAACCAGCTAGAATACACAGTAATTGTCATTCAGAGAGTCTATCCTAGAACGTCATGCTTCACTGGAGAAGACTGAGTTTCCATTCGAAATCAACAAATTAATCCAAGACAGGTATCTGAAAGGGCAAGTTTAATAGGAAGCAGCTACTGGGCTCTCAACCATGATAAAATGTTATTGCTGTTTCCCTGTAAATTGGCTGGGAACATATGATACTTTCTGCATAAGAGCCCCATTGCTGTTCAGCAGATATACAGCTCAAGCCATCAAAAGGATGACAGTCTGTCAGTCCCCATAATAACTTGCCATTGGATGTGGTTCGGGAGTGCATGCGTGCATGCATGTGGCTTTACAATTGCTGGAATGTTCTCTGATATAAACAGAATAAATTCATTGTTCTGACCGCATATAAATGCATCTCAAATAAACGTCACTGTGTCAAATCTATTCACCTCTAAAACAAGAATTTTAAATGAACTTTTGAAAGAAGTAAAAATTATGCATACACTGTTAAAAAAAAAAAATTTAAAGAGAATCCAAACCTTTACCTTCATTATAACCAAAGCTTGAAGGGTCAAAAAAGTTTGTTCACTTTATATTGTCTGTATCTATATTGTATGGTTTTATGTAAGTACAAAATAAATTATGTCACTAAACTGAGATGTCTGTATCACAGGAACAGTTCTAGAAATGAAACATCTAAGATCATGTCAACTGCAATCAATCATTCGCTTATTCACCAATGTTTACTCAGATTTTTCATGTGTAGGTGTTACCCGTGGAGCCAAGAGGACTGCCTGCCAGGACGGCTGAGTTAAGACACACCCAGGTAACTTTTACCTGAGGCAGGAGAGATGCCACATCCTATCCACTCACTCATGCATCCCCCTCCCTCCTCTCCTTGTTCATTAGACAAATCTTCACTGAGTGCCTATCTCCTGCCAGGTATGTCAAGATACAGCAATGAGTAGACAAAGCCATTCCCCTTCATGGAGCTTACATTCTAGATAGGAAGACAGGCAATAAACAAACAAATAAATATGTAATGCCAGCCATAGTGAGACATGCTATTACGAAAAAACATTAAAGTACAATTCAATCCAAATACTAACCACTTCAACACAACCACAAATATCAGTATTTACCCTGTATTGAGTACCTACTATGTGTCAGGAACTATTTTAAAAGATTTACATGGACTAACTTATTTAATCTTCACAACTACTCAGTGGATAGATACTATTATTTTTGTCATTTTATACATTAAAAAAAGCTTAAGTCTGTAGCACAGCTGGAATGCAGACCTAGATAGACACACCAAAACTCTAACCATCTTGAGATTCACTGAGTCATGTGGTAAACTTAATAGTCAACTAGTCAATATGATGACATTTTATCAGTTTATTAAGAAATCTGTAGTGGGAAACTGCCAGGGGAGGGGAGGGGAGAGGGCACACTTCATCAATAAGGATACCTGATTTCAAAACAGGGAAAGTGGGAACCAAAGTGAGACTCAAACTCTACCTGTACAATGACCATTTGTATACCTAACCCATCTTTAAAACAATAAAATAAAGAAAGAAAGAAATTTATGAGATAGTTAAGTGAATCATTTAGATTGACATGGTCTTAGATATTTTATTTCCAGATATGTTACTGTGACACAAACATCCCAGGTTAGTGACATAATTTGTTTTGTTCTTAGGTGAAACCAGATAGATACAGAGAATACAAAGTGAACAAGTGTTTTAAACCATTACAAATTACAAACTTTTTGCCATTTACAAATTACAAATCATTTGCCATATTTATTAGAGTATACAATCAAGAGGCTTCAGTCATCACGTAAAAAAAGGCAACACCTTCTAAGGGTAGTAACCAAGAAACTAAAACTATACTCGTGGGAAAGTTTTCATTTTGAACAGATTTCCTGAAGTTCAGCTGTTTTAAGCTTCTTTTGGTGGAAGACAATATGGTAGTTGTTAGAGGGGCCTGGACCCTGGCTGGTAATGCAAATAACTTATTACACCACTGACTTTTAAAAAAAATCAATTTCCAGTGGAGCAAAATTTTTAAAAAAACACCTCACATTATCAATATTGTTTTGAATACAAGTAGGGTACTTTCAGGGCCATAAGACTACACTTCTAACTCCTAACTAGGAACCCAATTAGAAAGTAGAAAGGTTTAATAAAGAAGAATCTCAAAATATATTGTATACCAATATTTTTTACTCTTTACTTTTTTTTTTTTACAACATTTAAAAATTTCACTAACATCCATAAGGATTCACTATAAAAGAGCAGAGTCAATATGAACTTTAAACTGTAAGATTTTATTCTTCTGTTTATTTTTTAAAAGGGAAACTGTTACAGAAAAATCACTAACTTAAGAGAATGAAATTAATTAAAAATGATCACTTCATAGGAACAGGTGACGCAATTTGTAAATGTTGACATTAATATGCTGGAAAAAATTCACTTCAGAGTGAACAGAATATAAATGTGGCTAAACCACTTTGATGCTATACTACTTTGAGGGAATTTACTACTTGGGAATTTATGCTGGCTGATACCAATTTTCTCTTTCACCTTGCAAAGCTCAATAAATCGTGGCCACTCTCTATACTCTATTAGAGAACAATTCTGTCATTTTAAACCACGTCTGCAAACCATGGAGAAAAGAAAATAGCAGAAGCATTCATTTTTAGGACTTTCAAATCACTGAGAATCTTTATAAGATAAAATGACAAAATTCTAATGTTATGAAAATAAGCAATTCATTAGTACAATCTGAAGTACTAGAAACTTATAAATTATTATTATTATTATTATTTTGAGTTGGAGTCTCACTCTGTCGCCCAGACTGGAGTGCAGTGGCTGCTCCCGGCCACTGCAGCCTCGACCTGTTGGGCTCTGGCAATCCTTCCGCCTCAGCCTTCCGAGTAGCCAGAATTACAGACATGCGCTACCACGCCCAGCTAATTTTTTGATTTACTGTAGAGATGAGGTCTTGCCTGCCCAGGCGGGTCTCGAACCCACGGGCTCAGGCAATCCACTCACCTCAGCTTCCCAAAGGCGCAGGATTACAGGCTGAGCCACCGAGCCCGGCTACTTATAAATTATTTTAACAGTTAAGTAAAACTAGTGAGTTTCTGCCCTATATTCAGACTTTTAAAATATATTTTATATTACACACACACACACACACACACACACACACACACACACAGATATATACATATGTAGAGTTTTGGAAAATTTAAACATTTTAGAGTTTCATACTTCCAAATATGATTTTGGTCACAGTAATAACGGTCAAGAATAAGCTTCTGCTTTTTCATTGCTATTGGGAATTTTATCACTTTTCATTTTCTCCTTGAAAATGAATCCATGATAGTAACCAATGGGTTTCACGTCATTGTACACATTTTGTTCAAATGATTGGCCAACCTTTCTTCACTAGTTGGTGTTTGGGGTACTTCTACAAGTACTTACCCTTTACAAAACTTCATTTTAGAAGGGCAAATGATTGTTTAATAGGAATTTTGACAGGAAAATTATTCAAGAAATGCCAGAGGATGCATCACTATGCCTAAGAACATCCTGACCCAGTGAGGTTCAAGGTAAGAAGTAGAACACAGAATAAACTGGCAAAGGGGGTAATTTTAGTATATAATAACTTGGGCTCACCTAGGCTTTTACTTTGTATGATATATTCAGTTATATCCAGAAAAATGAATACAAATTTCTAAAGATATATATGCATACTAATCCTGTTGTCAACACCAATTAATTTTGTATGCAATCTGCATTCCAGAAATTTACATTTTCCTCTTCCATGAAATTAGTCTGGAGAATGAACATGAAAACAAGTTACTAGTAACCAGTTTTTCAATTATGATAAGTGACACATAGCTTAAAACTGGTCAAAAGACAGACATAACACTCTGAAAAGTCCCCTATATACTACCACTTTTATTAAGGCTTTGTACAGATTTGCCTCACCATCTTATAGACATTCAATTTTAAAATGTAAATGGTACAGGATATTGATAAACCAATTAGTGCTGATGCAAAGCAAATTCCTCTTTTATCTCAATTACAACATGACAACTTAATAGGTCAAGATAGTTTAACATCTGAGACAAGGGCAATTCAATAAAACAACAGCATCTTGATATGGTAATTAAGAGGAAATTGAATCCATTACTGTGTTTTAAAAAATATCTCAAGCACTTTGGCTCTTTTTATTACTTTTATCAAAAGCTGTGATATGAAACATTCTCTTTTGTGATATTTTTGGTAGCACTTTTAGGGAAATGTGAAGAAAGCATCTGCATAAAAGCATTTTGCTCTTTAAGCATGTCTAAAGTAAGAAATGTATTTTATTATTTTCATGAAATTTAAAACATTCACAAAATTAATTAGGTGATTAATCATATGTAGCATTATTAACCCAAAAGATTAAAGGCTAAAATTAAGACATTAACCTATGCATTCTAAAGGATGATCACAGGTAGGAAAAACAATTCCTGAATCACTTTAAGCAAAGTATGAATGCCATTTCATTTTAATAGAAAGATATATCCTAATGCAAAGTAACTAAACCACAGGCAAATTAAAATGAAAGTGTTATGTATATGAATGGCAGTTTTATGAATGCTATCCAATTTTCATCCCGAGAATGAAGCACCAAGAACCCTTTTAGTGCAGATTTTGGGGACTATATTTAAAATAGGTACATAAAACTAGTCACTTGGTAGCATAATACTCAAATTCACTATACATTAAAACTGTGTTTTATACAAATTTGTCCTTACACTGCCAAAGCATGTTTAAATTTTATAATAAAAATGTTTCTTGCATTTCAACGTAATAGAAGAACTGTGGCTCCCATATAAAAAGGATAATAGAACTTCAAACGCACAGGCAATACATTTTATGGCTATGGAAAAGAGTATTCATGCTCTCCTGGGTCTGATTGCTCATCCAATAAGCAAAGTCTATTAAAGTTCAATAATGAAGTACTTTCAAAATGATCTTAGATCAACTCATTTATCTCTCACAAACATTACTTTTTTTAACATCAGAAAATCAAATAGAAAAGCCCATAAAAATGTTAACATATGAAAATGTACTACTCAACAAACCTGATTCCAAGATTCATAGCTTCAGCGGTTCCAATCATACTAATAGCTAACAGCATGTTGTTGCAGATCTTTGCAGCCTGAAAATAAATTAAATATACATTAAATATCTTTATTTTCAAGCTATGATTCATAGAAAGGCTCTCCTCACCCAATTCCATAGGCATCTTCCTAAAATATATAGCACTCAACTGATGATTCTTTCAAGTGGGGAAGGGAACATGGTACAGTAAGCCTCATTCTGAACCTAATATGCTATTCCAGAGCAGACTCGGGGGCCTCTTCCACTAGGTAATAACCCCGCAATGGTGAAATGGTAACCAAGCTCCTACTAGGGGCTCAGCATAATTGCTCTTTAAGGGATGGAACGTAAAATCTAATTGGGAAATGGAAGTAATACATTACATGAAAAGGCAACACAAATAAATGAGTGGCAAACTGTATGGTAGAGGCTATAAGATAGAGACAGCAGGAGGATTTCAGAGAAACAAGACCACTGAAGGTAGGAGCAGAGAGGAGGTGGAACCTAAAACCACATCTTAGGAGGCCAAGGCAGGATTTAAATAGGCAAGAAAGAGAAAGAAGGAGATGAGGGAAGAGGTAAATATAATGTAAGAGGGATTAACTATGTAAGAGCATGAGTAGTTCCTGGGAACATAGGAAAACTGACTCACGTGCATATGTTTTAAGAAATGATGAGAAATTTGATGGTTAAGACTGAGTCAAGAGCTAGTCAGCTATGAAAGTTAGGGTAAAGAATTAAAATTTATCATGGTAGGAAATAAAGATCTATTCAAAATTCCAGAATAGGGAAGTACTATGATGATACAAGCATCATGATGGAGTTGGTTTGGGTTCTAGTGTTGGGCAGAGTGGGAAATTTGGCATTCAGAGACCTATGAGGCCACTGGGTAGTAAAGCAAGTGTGAGACTATGAAAGAAAGGCCAAGAATGTGTGGAATAGACATGTGGACATGATGATTAACAATGAGTTACTGTAGCAAAAATCAATAGGGTTTGGAGATTGACTGGACAAGAGTATGGAGACAATAAATATATCTAAGATAATACCAAATTCTAAGTGAGATAAAGAGGGTCTCAGTGACTAGGATAAAAGCATTAAGAAGAGCCGGGCTCGGTGGCTTAGCCTGTAATCCCACGCCTTTGGGAGGCTGAGGTGAGTG